TTCACATCTTTACCTTAATCGGCCCCTATTTTCCCCACGGGGTGCTGCGTGCAATCTCATCACCTGCCTGCAGTCTCATCACGGCCTGTCCTCCTAGTGGGAGGAGGAGGGTGGAGAGGAGGCCACTTTGCTCCTTGATCTCCCAAGTCTTCTTTAGAAATCTGACCATCAGCATCAGTCAGGTTCCCCGTATTTGGATATGTTGTCTTCTCCACCTCTTTCCATCAGGCACTATCACCCTCCCTCTAGGGCCACCGCGGTCATCCTCTGATCTGCTGCTCCAGTTCCTCCTTGGCGGTGACACTGAGGACTTCAACATCCAGCTTCTTCCTTCTAGTAGTTTCCTCCTGGGGACTCCCTGGCCCACCTGTGTGCTGTGATCCACGCTGTCCTCGCCAACATTGCAGGTCCCCTTGCCGTTTGACCCTACAGGGCTGATTCCTGAGCTTGATCATTACCACCATCTGCTTTTTGCCATTGTGTTTCCCTCGGCAGAGCACTGCTGGAGAAAGTTACAGAACCCTCTTAAGACCCATGCGCTGTGGGGACCTGCGCCCTAACTTCTGCGAGGCCCTCCCGGCTGCCGACTTACCTCTTTACTTACCTCATTGTGTTCCTGGTGCCCTTCCTAAGTGAGCTTCCCCGCTCGCATGTAAGCTCCCAAGCTCGCATGTAAGCTCCCAGGCTTGTGCTAAGACAGACTTTCCATTCCCAAAGGTGCTCATTTCAACTTTAGGAAGAACTTTCAAGACATTTGATCGAAATTCCACTACCAGTTCCCTTGTGATGTCATTGCTGCCCTCTATCTTTTTTGGACACATTCTCTCACTGTTCCCTCCTGTTTCAAGACGAGAAGTCACCCGTCCTCCCAACCAAGGTCACTGTCTGGTCTCCGTATGCTAAACTATCCCCTCGCTCTCCTGTGTTCTCAGTCTCTCCCTCTGTGCTGCCTCTTTTCCTTCCCTATTCAAGCATGTTCTTATCGCCTCTCTCCTGAAGACCACCAAGTTGCCTATGGACCCTCCGCTTGTTCCAGGCTGAAATATCCTCTCCTTGCTCACTTCCATTTTTTTTTTTTTT